TTTCTCCTTGTTTTTTTTTTTTCTCTCATAATCATATTCTTTAGCGTGTATCTGTATTCGGTTTCGATGTATTTGGACGAGTAACGAATATGTATTCGGACCAGTAACGAAAATGTATTTGGACGAGTAACGAAAAAGTGGGCAAAAACACCGAAAAAAATTCGGGATAAATTTTTGGCGAACTCCGAAAGCTACTCCAAATAGGGTTTCATAGTGCTTGTGAGGTTTTTTTTTTTTTTGCCTTTTTTTTTTTATTTATGTTTGTAGTATGAGGTTTCGACGACATCGCCTATAGTGATGCAGCAAAGCACCCCGAATTTTGGGTCTTCCATTAACCATCTCGGAGAAGGGGGAAGAGCAAAAAAGAGAGAAACGGAGAGAGAAAAGTAAAAAACCGAATCAAAGAGTAGCAGAAACTAGAAGAGGGGTGGGAGTCGCACAGAGAGAGAGAAAGTCGCACACAGAGTGAGAAAGTCGCACAGAGAGAGAGAAAGTCACACAGAGAGAGACAGACACAGAGAGAGAGACGGAGAGGGAAAAAAACTGATTCAAGGAGCAAAGGCAGTTAAAAGAAGGGAGAGAGAGAGAGAGAGAGAGCTGGCAAAAGATGATCCGCCGAGAGGAGCAGTTGGTAACAGAGGGAAAACCACAGAGAGAGAGAGAGAGAGAGAGAGAGAGAGAGAGAGAGCTGGCAAAAGAACACAGAGAATGAAGGATGGAGAGGAATTGCTGCTTTTCATTGGTTGTCCTCAAACGCCTTTCATCCTCACAGAGTCGATCATCGGGCAAAGGAATGCTGGGAACCGGGGCTCACAAACCCCTCTGCTCCCCCCTCCTCCCCCCCCCCGCCCTCTCCCCTCCCCCTGCATTCCCTTTCCAATTCTCCTCCAGAGCTTCGTAAGCCCCAATGCTACATATTAATTCGACAGAATGTCTTTTCTGATCACTCTCATCGAACCTTTAAATCATACTTATCGTCTCCTTCCCTTCTCTCTCTCTCTCTCTCTCTCTTCCGCAGGACTCGACCTCCTTACCTCGTCCATTGCCGAGTAATGACCGGCAGCTGTAGAGATTGCGTTGCGTGCCTCTCTCTCTCTCTCTCTCTCTCTCCCTCTCTCTCTCTCCCCCGACGAAACCAAGAAAGACGTGGCGCCTCTCTCTCTCTCTCCCCCGACGAAACCAAGAAAGACGTGGCGCCTTCCTCTCTTCTCTAAGATTCGGAATCCTTCCCTCCTCCCATTGCCTGGTCGATAACGAGCGACTACTATAGATTTTTATTTTTTATTTTTTTTCTTTTTCTTTTAAACTCACACTTTCATTATCCAAGTAAAACCCTCGAGGCCGGCGACTACTACAGATATTGCGTGCATAGTTGGTTGAAAGAAAGTGAAAAAAAAAAAAAAAGAACTTAACGGAATCCGTTGAAGTGTCCGTTAGGGCAACTAACTATGTAGACAGCCTGTTAGCGGAAGCCCGAAGAGAACGAACTTGCTCCTTTGATGTTCCTGGTCGCAATTTCGGCGTTTTCCTGAACCGAAATCATCAGGTCCTACTCGCGGGCACCACACGGTACGCGCTGACGATTTCAGTTATTTATACAAACGGCAAAACTGCGGCCACAGAAAAAAGAAGTAAAAAAAAAAAAAAGAAATTGCTGCCACAATTCAGCTGCGTGCTTTAGCTCATACGGCGTACTACCTTACCGTCTTCCCCCGAACATAACGCACCCTCATTTTGCCTGTACCGGACCGGAAAGATAGCTTCTATACATTCATGACCAGGGTGCGTTATGTTCAGGGGAAGACGGTAGTGGGCCTCGCTCCACTACTCTCGACATGCACAAAAAACAAAAATCATGGCGGTATATCTGTCCATGTTCTAGCCGAAGATTCACTCTCGTCTTGCACATTTCGAGAGCAGTTGAGCGCGGCCCATTCTTTCGCCTTTCACTACAGAAGAATACCGTGGGGTGAGCACACTGAGCAGCTTGCAGCAATTTTCTTTACGGCCCTTCGCTCCGTCGAAGGGCTATAAATTAAAAAAAAAAAAAGACGAAAAAAAATGCGGCCACCAACGTCACAGTCATTTGCCCAAAGGAGTAACTCGATTATTTCCTGATTAGGAAACACGGGCCTGTTGTCGCCGTCTGCTCCTCTCCGTCCCCTTCAAGAACTACTCGGCAGCCCCCCCCCCCCAAAAAAAAAAAAAAAAAAAAAAGAACTCAACCCACCCCCCCCCCCCCCCCAAAAAAAAAAAAAAAAAAAAAGATAGAACTCATCGGCAGCCCGTTAAAGTGACCGTTAGGGGGGGAACGAAGGACGCCACATGAAGCTAAAATAAACAGACTCCAGACGACTGTCCGTTAGGTTAGGTCATATAAGCAAACGGTGAGAGGGGTCCAAAGAATTGAAGGGTAGAAAGAGAGGCCCATACATGTATATATATTGTCACAAATATCGTCAAAGATATATACATCGTTAAACAACTATATATCGTCACAAAAGATATCAGAGCGCAAAAGCGAAAAAACAGAAGATCTCAGAAACCACCAGAGATCATGGGCAAAATAAAAATAAAATAAAAATGAAAAAAAAGGATCATGAGCAAAAGGGAACTAGCTACTGGGCGTTCGTTCGTCAAGGGGGCTGGTGATCTCCAAGTGGTTGAACTCTGACTACAGTCTTCCCCCGAATACAACGTACGGTCATTATAGTTGAATTTGGCGTATCTTTCAGTCTAAATTCATCTATAACGACCGTACGTTGTATTCGGGGGAAGACTGTAGAGGCAGTAGGGTAAGTAGAGTAAAGGGACCGTACGTTGTATTCGGGGGAAGACGGTATCTGGTTAAGGGACCTGGGCAACTCGGTCTGTAGGGAGGAGGCTAGAGAGTGGCCATGTCTTCACCAGATCACTCGGTCTCTAGGGTCGCAGTGGGCCAAGTAGGAGAGTGATGGGAATTAAAAATAAAAAGAAAAAATAAGAAAGAAAGGAGAGTGATGGGAAATAAGGGACTTGGATTCCACCTAGGCCGAAGTAGGCCAGATCGTCGTTTTAGACGGACTGGATCCCTGGGTAAGCAGGTAGAATGAGAGACATGAGAGACCAAGGAACAGTTTTTAAAAGCAGTTTGGGATAATTGCAGCCGGGGAGATGGAAAGGTTATCTTAAAAAAAAAAAAAAAAAAAAAAAATCAATTCATTTTTTATCTTCTTACTTACACAACTCCCCCTGTTGGGTGTAGGTTGGGCGGCGGCTGCCCCCACCCCCGTGCGTCATGTCGACCCACTTGCACACAGCCAAAGGGCAAAGAGGCATATATCGTCAAACAGAACTGCCCGGCAAACCGTCGGCAGAGGGGTAGAAGAGGACATAAAATATATACATATACATCGTCACAAAGATATCAGAGCACAAAAGCGAAAAAAAACGAAAAACATCAATTCGTTTTCTATCTTCTTACTTACAACTCGATATATATATCGTCATATATATCGTCACAAACAGAACTGCCCGGTAAACCGTAGGCAGAGAGAGAAGAGGACAACAAACGAGGGGCTGTGACAAACTGTTTCGTCGGAGTTTCACCGACTCATCAGGAGGCTGAA